AAAGGTCCAGCATAAACGTCACTTTACAACTTACAAGTCCTGAAAATGAACAAATCATGGGAACTTGTTGCTATTGGAATCAATTAATCATTAATTTGTTCAAAGTCATCATCGATTTTTTATTTTTTTTTTGTTGATTATTCTCTTACTATACCCCTAATAAGTAGTTCAGTACAAAGATCATTTTAAAGTCCTGGGAAAAACATGAATACGAGGGAACTCGTTGCTATCCAAAACTCAGTTTTGACTTACGGTGTAACTTAAAACTACATTATGGAATCTTGAAAAAAAAGTTTAAACCTTCATCTAGTTTAGTTCTAATAAATATGTGGTCGAATCTTTCCTTAAATTCATGTAGCGTTCTAGCCTGCTTATTTAGCCTGTCCTCCTTCCAGCATCCTTATTAAGGGACAGCTAAACAGGTGTATGAAGCCAAAATCCTAGGTCGTATGCTTTGAGCGACCAACATTGTGGGGATTTCGTCTGTTTACAGCATCATGCATAATCTTATCTAGGAACTTCTGTCACACAATGAAAACAAAAATCATAGTCCCTCAAAAAACCATAATCTCTCGGCCGCCACCTCCCCCCACTCCCCAAGGGCCCACCCCACACCATACTGGTAAAAAATGACATGAATAAAACCCTAAAAGAATATTATTGCAGATTCTGCATCCAAAATGTTAAAAGGTAAGGCAAGTAGGCAGAAGTAATAGTACCTTCTTGATGACGTCCGCTGTTTCCACTTTTTGCTTGTGAGCATTAAATCTACTGGTTCTTCTCTTTGACAGATCTGCTCCTGCAACCACATCTAATCTAAAAGTCTGCTGTATTACAACTCTAGAACAATGACTGTTCTTCTTAGTTCAGATAGCTGCTGACTGCTAAAGTAATTAACTCAGGAGCTGGTCCACATCTTATACAGAAGTTTGCCAGAAGAAATTTGCAACACAATGGTGGATGAGGAAGTCGCACACATATGCAGATGACAGGTATGAGAATACAGGAAAATCCTTTAAGTGAACAGTACACGTAAGACGCGTCAGATGGGACTTACATGAGATTTGTTACAACAAAATTCTCCAATACTCACCACCAAAAGCTGATAAGGTTAATACATCAGTTCTGTCGACATAATGAAAGAATGAGGTTGTCAAACTCTTAATGAAGACACCACGAAGTTGGTTTCTAGAAGAAATAAACCTAGCACGAAGTGATCCATTGGCGACAAGATCACAAACAGAATGACCTTTACATTCTTATTCGGGCAGGAAACCGAATGGGCTGCAAATGAATTGCACTGATATTGTCAAAATAGAGAATGGTTGATGAAGTCAAATGAATCCCAAGATCTTGTGGAAGTTACAAGATCAATTTTTGGGGTCAGTGGTCAGGTTGATAGATCTGCTACCATAAATACTGAAGTTTTGCGAAATTTAGTTCTCGACCTACTTAGGGTTGAGAAAGAAGGATTATATATATCCATATGACACTAATGAGCATACAAAAACTACCTTTAAAAGTCTGTTGTAGACATTAGAGAGGGGACATGGGACTTGTATATGACAATATTAGTGAATAACATGATGTAGGAAACAAGGCATAATAAATAACATCTTTCACAAAACAAGTAATGAATAGGGCCATGTGAGGTTTTGTGTGAATGCTAAATCGTCAGCAGCTTTATGTTCTCTTCACCAAACCAAACTGTAAAATGGATACGAACATAAGGTTTCTTCTTTACAGTGTCCTTTGCTTTGCAAGTGTACAGCATTACATTTGCTTTCAGGGTTCTCCAAGTGTATATATAGTTCTAAGAGAAACAGAAAAACTCTGTTAAAAAGTAATTGCTGTTCTTACACTCAAAGGTTGCCCACCGGCTTGGAGGTACGACAGAACGATCCTCCTTCACATCTGAGTGATAAAGCAAACTGAAGAGATCTGCAGTACCATCCGAATTCCTTTTGGATGTACTTTGTTCAGCCACGAGCCCAACTGGTGGAGGTGATATAATAACCATATTCATATCTAAAGAACCCTGTTCAAATATAGATAACCTTTGGAAGTAAGCTCTCAGAATTTTTTGATTCATAACAGTTGGTCTAAGAAGACTAAGATCAGAACAAAAGCAAAGAAAACAACTCCAAGGACATCAAATCTAGAAAAATTTCTCACATTATTCCTGGCTGATATGCAAGGACAAGTAATGAACTTGGAAAATGAAATACATGCATAATTACATTTCCTTTCAGCTCCCTTGGCACATGTTGATAATAAAAACTAGGGTACTGGTCTACAGAGATTATCATATTCTGCAACACAACATAACCACCGAGGAAAGTAAGTCCTCCAAGCTCACCAACAGAGGTAATTAAGGCCTGTTTCACTAATTCAATGAGCCATGCTTTCACCCACATTGACAGTAACAGGAAAGACACAGCCTTCAAGATATGTGACTAATCTCAGATGTCCAAAAGAGGAGATACAACAATCGAGTGGTGAGTTCTAACGGGTGGTTACAAACTACAACTCTCATGATAAGATTGTGATAGTTGGAAATTAGTTCAAGGATTGACGAGCTCTTATGCGGCTATCTACAAACAACTACCAATGAGCAGACCTTCAATCACAAAATAAGGGACCCACTCAGTATCAGTAGTTTAAGCCAACATAAAAACTGGGTGATTGCTATGCAGTCAAATCATAGATCGTCTAGTGAAGAGCTCCTGTGAAGATGCAACAAGCAACGGTGATTCCCAAATCCTGTTGTCATTATTAAGATCAATAAAGTTGGTTCTGTAAGAGATGGCAGTAGTTTAAGTGGGTTAGATGCGGTAGCCTGAGATAATATAAATTGTGATCCCTTACTAGTAATTTAATAGAGATGCTGGCAACTAAAGAAGCATTCAAATTGGTGAGGGATTGAGGCTTCAGACGAGTAGTCTTCGACTGGAATATAGTCTAAGCTATGGCTCTTGGTGTTTGTGAGTTGAAGTAGTTCAAATGTTGTTACTCCATTTACAGGTCCCCATCCCATTGTGTCTTTCTTTGCACTGTGACTGTTGAAGTATAAAATCCTTATGTTTCACCCCTTTAATAGCTTAAGCTTGTATATGAGATGATAAACCACATGATATCGGAGCATGAGGTTGCACGTTCAAATCTCACCTCATCCGGAGAAGTATAAGACTTGCACGTGGTCGACCTAAAATCTAGCCCGTGTGGGAGTGCGTGTAAAAGTATATTGACTTATGTAAACAGCCTCTCTAATAGTTTAATATTTCAGATGAGATGGTTACTTAATAAAGGTAACAAGTCTAGCATTAGCATTGCAGTGAATCAACATGATTGTAGGAAGTTGATTGGCATATCATGCATTACAAGATTTTTCTGGCCAGATTTGTATCCACTCGTGCCTACCTTCATCAATCAGCCAATGTTCTTATGAAAGCTGCGAGCAACCAATTTTTAATGGTTTAATATCCATGTTAGGAATGTCTGATGTCCACGCACCAGCTTGAAGGGGACTGTTATTTGATAGTATTTAAAGTTGTTTACTTATAGGAGGAAGGTATGTGCTTCTCGTGTGCATAGTAAGGTTTGCTTCGTCTATACAAGAATACTAAGGCAAACTTAGGTCCTTATTTTATCAATTAGCACTGTTACCACAGTCTGGTTGATGTTAGTACAAAGTTAGATTCCTAGGTTTTAAACATGGTTATCAGATGTTTATTACCTCTATGATCACCATTGATGTTCTCAACTCATCTGACGTATCCTTTGCTGGAAGCCACTTGAACATGCAATCAACGTAAAATTTGCATGTAAACCTTAATATCCTTTATGAAGTGCATTGGTCCTCAACTGACCATGATATCATGTTTCACACTTCTACACGTTCAACAAACACTACTGTAGTCAAAACTAGAGGTTTACCCGAGCTCTGCAATGCTATGATTTTCCCAAGAGCCAAAGTGATCATACTTTCTTAAGCTTCTCCTAATGGGAAGACAGCTGCAATTATTGTATAAGTTGATGGTATTGTACTCACTGCTGATGACTTAGAGGAGATAGAATACTTGAAAACTTATTTGGCCTAAGAATTTGAAATAAAACACTTGAGATAGGTGAAATATTTCTTCAGTATTAAGGTGGCTAGATCTACATAGGGATCTTCATTTCTCTGCAAAATTGTGTGTTTGATCCCCTCAAAGCGACAGGAATGTTGGGGTGTAAACCAGTTTATACTCCTATCAAGTGAAATCCTAGGTTAGAGGAAATGTTGATAACGCTCTCACTCATTGATAGAGATCGAAATAGAGACTGGTGGGCAAACCTATTTCTTTGTCTCATACTCATCCAGTATAGCATATGCTATCAGGGCCATGAGTCAATTCATGCACTCACCTCATGAGTCTCAAATGGAGGCTGTCCATAGAATTCTGTGTTTCCTGAAGTTGGCTCTGGGTGAAAGGTTATTATTTTCTAGCCATGATCACAGAAAGTTGAAGCTTATACAAGTGCAGATTCAACCTGTTTGATTACAAACAGAAGATCAATTTCCGAGTATTGTACTTTGGGGGTTGCATAACAAGAAACAATCAGTTGTATCTTGTACCAAATTGACATTTAATTACATTGTTGAAGGGTATTTTTTCACTTCAGTTTATTAGGTCACTAGTACTTCAAGCTCTTGAGCGAGAAAATCCTAATTCACTCTTTCCTTTCACAGCCCCACTTTCTCTTTCTCTCGTATCCTTTTTCATTATTTGCTTATATAATTTAAATAGGAGAATATAAGTTTTTGGATCTCCTCAATTGTGTTTGATTTTTCATATAAAAGTGAGTTTCATTGTAGGTCTTTCCAAATGTCACCCTTGTCCCTCATCTGAGGTCTCCACTAGTGGCTTCTTTGAGATGCTTTACCAGTGCTGAAATTTTTGCTTGAATTCTATTATCCAATCCAGGAAAATGCTACTTACGAAAATATTTTCTCACATTAAGAAACAAAATTATTGCCAAGGAAAAAGATCCTATACTAAATAAAAATAAATAATATTTGCATTCACTTTAAAGCCCTTCTTCCCGTATCACGCAATAGGCTATAGATGGGTTATCAAAAATGTATTAAAGTATTAGTGTAAAGTAAAGAGCAAGACATGAATTAAAATCTTGGAAGAATTCCCATATCAAGCAACAATAGTTTAACTCAATGAAAGACTGATATTACCCCACGAGGTCTAGTTGTTGGAGGAGTAACTTGTGACATGTATCTATTGAGAATCCCTTCCTCAAGAGAATATTTTCTTGCCTTCTTGGGAATGCCAATTTTGGCTCCACTTTCGACCAGTTTGTCACAATTAGAGCTCTTTTCACCTACTATGTGATTTTGCTTTGTTGAATGCTTAGAGACCCATTTTCTCTCCTGATACCTGGAAAAATCGAAGCAATATACATTAAACAAAGAAGTAGTGTGCTCTATCCATATGCAGGCACAAAAATGAAGTTCAGCGGTCAACTTACTTGGCACGGATAAAATAGTCGATCACACTTCTGTCAAAATTTGGTGGCACTTCTGCTTCCCAATAACTGTTAGACTTATCATTACCCATAGCTACACAAATAAGATAACACGCATTGTCCATAAAGTTTTAGTCATAAGACTGATCAGAAACTCGAAGCAGTTAACACAACTTGAGGAAATGCCTGACCAAAGTTTCATCAATACTTTTCTTAATTTTTTCCATTAAATCAACTGCCAAAAAAGTTGAATGGTCAAGACAAATAGTCAGCTTTCAACAAATAAGTGTCAATTAGAGCTCAAAATTCATCACACGACCGCTATCCTATATTCCTATTTTGGCAACCTCTATCCTTTGTGTGCATAGGTAAAGCTTGATGCCATAGGGCAACAATTTGTATGGCCTATTAGATAGCATTTTCCTACATGATGTCTTCTATTCACTTGGTAGAAATATGAAATAAAAGTTTGCCTAACATCTATATTAGGATAGCAATGAGGGAGAGAGCAAGGGAGAAGGAGAGATCCAACATATTCTTACATTGCATGAAAGCAACCTGCTCCGGTAACCACGTATCCAAAGTTGTAGACCTTACCTATAGTTGCAATTTAGGTCAATGAACATTGGAATTAAGAAAGGAGAACAGAAGCACATACAGTCAACAGAATATCAGTGTATTCAATTCAGAATTAAAACGTTAAGTATAATGCGCCAAAAGAATAAAGCTCCGTGCACAGTTACCACTGATATTTTTTATGGCACCACTAACATCTTTTATTCCCTCAAATTTATTTTCATCAAGGTTAATGAGAGTAGTACATGAGAAATGTAGTTTGATATTATTTTTACTTAGGTTAGGGGCCCAAAGAGAGCCTGCATCCCACATTAAAAAATATCACCTAAGGCTGGTTTACATGGTCAAGGGGCCTTTTCACTCATTGTCAATTGGTTTAGAGTTGCATGCTCTAACAAGGGGAAGGGAAAAGGTGTAAGGTAAAGATTTTCCTTAGCCAGGGCAATCAGCAACACTTCAATATTATCCCTTTCTTAAAAATCTATAAACTCTAAGGGGTATAGCTTCACAACAATAATAAATGAATTTGAGAAAAAGAAACACTTTATTTCCCAGAAAACCTCGATTAAAACTAAAATACAAAGAATTCAAGTTATAGGTCACCGAAAATATGAGCTTCACTACAAAACTAATGCAAATCTTTAACCATGCTTCCATCTCTCAAAAAATAATCATATTGCAAAGCAAGAAAACCCTCCTAAATTGGTCTCAGCTCAAAATCTTATGATGAAGGATAAAAAAAACTACAAAAGTAAAATTCCAAGCTACAAATTAATCCATCACAAATATATATTTATTTCATGAAAATGTTACATGTTTTTCCCAACACTTCAAATTTCGAAAGCATGGCATCCATTTCAAGAAATTATGGATTAGAGTTGTCATCTACTTTCTTTATGTGATCAGTGTTTTCTGTTTCCATTTTCTTTCACGGAAACACAACTCTTTGTGCCAAACACTTCAAAAGTTCAAATTTGCACAGCTATCCCCATGTCCATTTTGGTTCAGGGTTTTCTGATGCTTTTGGAAAATTATTAATCTTTGTTCCAAGCACTTCAAATACTGAAATTATTAATCTTTGTATCACGACTCACAGCTTTTGCAATTATCTCAACCTCAATTTCTTATGCCTAGAACTTTCTCAATACTTGACACTATCACTTACATGTTAAAGAGTTTAAAGGTAGAAACTATAAAATAAGCTCCTATTTCCTTTGAAATATCAACGGTGTATAGTTGAAGCCGCTCTTCTCTGTGGCTCTATTTTCCCCTTTTGGATGTTTGAGAGAGAGGAAATCTCATTACAGTTTTGGGAAGCAGTGTCGCATACACATGGCATAGCCGCAGAGGTTAAACGTGCCAAAAATAATTTTACACATAGGGTATTAACAAGACATTGAGAGTCATTCACTGAAACAGAATCTTCTTCATTCCTATTTTTCTAGGTCACTTCAATCATTTTACCTGTGATTATATTGGCGCTACTCCTTTCAGTGCTTACAAGAAGTTCAAAGAACCAAATTTATCAGTTGCTAAACCAATAACATATCTCTTAACCATGGTTTTTTCCTAATGACAACCCTCAACAAACAAAGTAAATATGAATAAAATACCATTATAGAGCTTTATTCTCTAAAGAAGCAATGCAATAGGTTACCTAAGCTTCACTATGCCACACATTACACTAGATAAACAAAAAACAGTGCAAATTTTTCCAATTTGAACCGTATTAAACTTCATAAGAGAAAAGTTCATCTTAAGCTGCACTGAATCACCACCTACATGGCAGTGTAAAATAATGCTTCACACGAGCTCTATTCAACTCTTGCCACGTGCAGAGTTAATTGACGCTTCATACAGGCACCATTTCATAAATATGGAATACCAGGTACAAGTTTTCTACAAGAAATATTTAAGGCATAATCACTGAAAACACTGTGGAGTCCCCATTAATAACTGTGATCAAATAAAACAAAAAGTGACCAAAAAATTCAGCATACTGCATGGCTGTAAAGTAGAGAGAGGAAGTAAGAATGTGAAGTGTAAACCTTTGATATATGTACTCCAAGACTCCGATGTATTCCTGAACACCGCATACATATAAATATTCCCAGATTCACACTTGCCCAACGCGGGGCCCTGAAATAAATAATTAAAGCACTCAAATTATTGCTTTGTGAGTTAATTATAAGAAGTGATCAACTTGTAAAAATTTAACTAAGATGATCAAACTAAGTCTAACTTCTAAGAATAAATTTGAACTTAGATTGGGACTCCTGTTAGAGAGTACTTTCGGTAGAAAAGAAGAACATGGTGGTAGAGCAAGGTAGAGGTCCATGACCTGCCCCTTCCCCAACCTACTGTGTCACGAGTAAGGCTATTATATTGAGAGACTGCATGAAAAAAATTGATCCACTATTACAGCAGATACTAAATTCCGTCTGGCAACTGCTCGAATGGAAATGGAACAATATCCACAGAGAATTAGAAGCAACAATGGAAATAGAGCACAGGGGCACATTTATGGATACATGACCTCACAAAAATTAGACAAGATTGGTTGGCCCTGCTCACCATCTGAACTAGGTGCACCAAGAGGCATAAGGCTGTGCATATTTATCTTTTGTACATTCAAACATCAGAGATATTTCAATGCATCTTTGTGGAGTTAGTCGGTTCTTTTGATGCTAAATATTTTCTAGGCTAATTTATATAGTTATTATTAGTTATTATTAGGATCATCATGTTACAAAGGATGGAACACCATAATCAGTACCTAGAGAATGAAATTATACATGAAAAGCATATATCACCAATGCGAATGTGACAACCGCATATGAAGTTAAGGTATGTCAAAGTTAGGAAGCTCTATTTGTTTAATTTATTGGCCGAATAGTTGACAAATACTAAGAGTTATTGTGTCACGGATGATGGAATACCATATTCAGGTTCCAATAATAACCTTTCGACAAACTTCCCTCCTCTCCCAATATAAACACCCCTCCAAACATCAAGCACCTCTATGCTCCCAAAACAGTTAGCAACCACATCTAGACCATCCTCCAAATTCCCACACTAAATATCATGCTAAAAGCACACCCTATGTCCACTACTCACTCAGAATTGCAAGTATTTGAAAGTTTCTTCCCCGTTTCTTCTCCAAGCGTTCCATAAACCTACTGCATGTGGCCTGTTAACCTCCAACGTGATCTGATGGATCTGAGTTCCCCATGCTTTCTTATTCCTCCTCCGCAATATATCAGGTGAACTCACTTTCACCACCCCCCCAAAAACAGAAATTCATTCATGGCTTTCCAATGTCAGCAATAATGCACATGTATAATATACAACAAGATAAGCGTCCTCTTAACCAATGTAATATAACACCCTCAGACAAAAACCGATCTACCATTTAAATTCTTCCCTCTCATGGTGCAGCCAAGGAAAGCAGAGAGAAAAGCAGCAGGTAGAGCAAAAGAAATTGAGAAATGTAGATTAGTCCACCCCAAACTCGGGCAGGAAAAGCAAAGAGTTGAAGAGAAGGTCAAAGTCCAGTTCCTCCTTGCTGGAATGCACAAAACAGTGCAGAAAAATTGCCTAGAAAACCCTAATTTCATCAGTCATATATCAAAAAGATTGCCAAGATTTCAAAATATCCTTATTTAGTTGAACATAGTCCCAAAACAAACCTAACCAAGGAGCAAATAAAACAACCTAATCTCACCAATATGGAAAAACAAACTAACTTATCTTTGACACAAAGAGAAGCATTTGGACTCTGGTCTTATTTTGGTGCCAGTAAACATTTATGAAGACTGTGTTTATGATGATGAATTCTCCCAGGTGGAAAGAACTTGGTTCCGCCAAGTCAACTATGTCAGCAAAATCCTCATGTTATCAGTAGTTAAGTTACCTTTCCATTTGACAAAAACGCTTTTTGTAATACAATTGGTTATTCAACCCATCGTTGCCTCGAGTATTGCACTCACATTGAAGTCTCCGAAACAACCACAAATTGGTCTATTATTCATAGAAAGAGTGAGATTGGTGACGATGTTACTCATAAAATTAATGCACAATGGACTAAATGGAGGAATACATCCGGTGTATTATGTGATAAACCCATACTCCTTAAGCTGAAAAGAAAATTTTATAAAACAACATATGACCTGCTATGCTTTATGGTACCGAGTGTTGGGCAACTAAGAAGGATAGAAGTAGAAATGAATATATTCATGAAAAAGTGGAGGTAGCACATATAGGAGATAAATTAAAAGATAATCGACTTAGATAGTTTGGATATATCTATAGACGGCCTACTACAGCACCAGTAAGAAATAGTGATATGATAGATATTGACGTAAGCGTAGGAGTAGACAAAAACTAAAATTACTTTTAATTGAAATACTATGGTTTGACAGAAAATATGGCCCCTAATAAAACACAATGGCGAAATAAGATTTATGTAGCCAACCCAAAAATATTGGAACAAAGCTTTGTTGAGTTGAGTTGAGTATTAGGCTAGCTACCATACCTTGTTTCTTACTTCACCAAGTGAAAAAGGTTCCCTAGTACTAAGGTACAGCAACATGAAATTCATCGTCTATCATCCACTGAACCTATACAGTTTACATCAGTAAATGCTACTAGTCTTGAGAGAGACAGATCATAGAACAATATGCCTTGCCATGTGGCTGACTAGAGATACCTCAGAATATGACACTAAATAACCCAACCAGCCCAATCTTCATTTGTTTATGATTCTACTGGCAAGTGCCACTGCCTTGAAAATAATAACTTTCCCTAGAAGAAAACTTCAAATAACGAGAATTCAATAAACTGCTTCCCTGTATGACTTGCAAAGGGAATGTATAAACCGACTCATGTCAGGATAGCCTCACCTGAACCAAGTGTTTCCACAATCAAGGTAGCGGTACTGATGCATTGTGTATGAAAACCCATCTAATAATCCATGGAGTGAACCTAAGGTTATCATTAGAGAACTTATGGCTAGGACTTGCTCCTCCAGTCATACTGCTTACTATATGGAGCTAGACAATCATGACGAGTTAGTTTGTGACCTTCTGGACGATAAACTCTTAAGAGTCTGGGTCATGTATCTACCCTTACCATTATATGCGGCAGTAAAACCTATGAGGGGTTTGTCGATTCATTAGCAGGCCAAGTCAGGCAACTAGAATTACCAACTGCTTAAAGTACAAAAATTTATGCCATTTATGCTAATATCTCACTTAATTTCCTTTTATTAAGATAAAACAAAAGAAATCACTAAACCAGTGCATGTGAAACTGTCGGCTGAATGTTACAGTGCAGAATAAGTGCATCTAGATGTTTAAAGTATGTTTTGAAATTATCATAGAATGATCCAGCCCTTATCAAAAGACCTCCAGATAATGGATGATAATGATACATCATGAGGTACATCACAGACGGGTTCCGAAAGCATACTTGCTACGACAATCTGCACATTCCCTATTTTCTGGCAGCTTAAGAAGACCCTCCAATATCTGCAAACAGGTTCCAAGATGCTACAAAATTAAAACCTCTAAAAAGTTATTAAAATGAAGCAACCAGTAATTTTAAACCAGTATTAGGCCAGTGATAATTCAATCTGCATCACTAATTAACTAATATTTCATGCCAATGACACAAGACTTGTGAAACCAAATCTCACGACATACACATGAAAACTCAAACTATTACATGCTTTGGATGGGAATTACCATCAATACTTCCATGAGTTCAATACTATAATTATTCTCACTAGCACAGGTAACACTTGAACATATCTCAGAATTATACCAATCAACAAACTCTAATCCCTATTGATCTAGTAATTTTCTTTCTTAATTTGTTTGAGGTTGAAAGCTTTGGATTCTAGGTCAGGTTGTTTTAGTTTTTGAGGGAATGAATTTTGGAAATTCTTTTTCCCTTTTGTTACTGATAAAATTAGCTAGGCCTATGACTTTGGTAAATATTTATTGTTGGGATCATGCCAGTCCTTTTTGTGTTGAGTAGAGATAAGGAAAAAAAACTCCATGCCTAGGCCAGCTATGTACATGTTTACTTGAATTTGATTGTTGCAAATCGAAGTCAAACTTGACGAACCAACAATTTCATGGATATGTTTTTTCCAATAATAGATTTGTTGTTGCACCTTTCCATAGATGACCATGTTATGCCTCATGCCGAACGGAGGCCTTGGCACAACGGCAAGCTATATTGTGACTTGAGCGTCACAAGATCGAATCACGGAAACGTCCTCTCTGCATCAAAGGGTATAGTGATGTAGAAGCTCATTAAAGCAGCCATTGTTTTGTGGAAACTATCATATATTAGTACATTTAAAAGGAGGACGGTGCAATAGAATGTTTTGCATTTTTCAATAAGTGGTAGTATATTCTGTATGATATTGCTTGGTATTTCATTTCTATTTCCTATTGTTCTCATCTTTTGTCTAAGAAAATGTAAAAGATAGAGTACAAGGGCATTGGTAGGTCAGAATTTGGTGATGAATCGGGAAACACAAACACAACTATGGGATATGGGATACGGGTACGATACAGATATAGCGATATAGCAATACCTAGATAGCTAGCTACCTCTGGTAACGTTTAGAAGGAGTTCAATCCTTTGACTTGCTATTTCTACTTCTTATCCTTTTCTTTTGAGGGAGATTTGTTCGTGTTCTTTGTGCCAATGAAGAGCTGGCACGGCTAATGACTAGTCATTAGCCTGGTCAAATGATTGGGTTGGTGCATGTTTTCGAATGTTTGGTGTTAGTCCACGGCAGGAAGTTGGTTGGGTGACCCTATAAATTGGTACCGCTTTTTATACTTCTACTATTATGTGACAATTTGATAGCTACAATTTTAGTAAATTCTTTAGTAACAATTCAAAAAATAGAGAATTTTTTACTTCCAAAGAAGTATAAATCAGTTCCTCATGGTGTTCTAATAAATTGAAGGTGGCTAATTAGAGGAGCCAAAACCAACATATAACTAGTTAGTTTACCTAGAAGCACTTCTTGCCAAAAGATAGAGGGTAATTAGCTCATCTTGTGTCAATTTCAAATGTGGTAGTAGATAATCCTTAAAAATTATTCACACGTCTTTAATGTTATATAGATTTGTATCATTATATGTGAATTTGAGAAAAAGGGTAAACATCAAAATTAAAAATTATACATATTGTTCTGTGCAGCTACTTCCATATATACTCTAAAGATGGGATACTCACATCCGATATGTATCTGAAAACAAAGAAGTAGTTTATCAATTATTGGGTAAGTGGTGAGTATCCGATATGAATTGTCAAATATCTAATGAGCATTATACTCAATACGAATGATTCGATCTACACGGAATATCCATGCTTCATAGGGATGAGTTTATCAGTCATTAAAAAATTCAAGGGCCTTTCTATTGCTTCCATTAAGACAAAGAGGCAATTTGGATCACTGCAAGCAAAAAAGGGAGCAAGAATAGCCCCCCTCCCCAAAAAAAAAAGCACACACACACAAACAAAAGAACAAAAAAAAAAAAAGGTTTATTGCAAACAATAATTGCATTTTAGAAGCACCAAGACACACCTTGTCCCTACATCGGCATGTATGACATTATGTTGAGGGATTTGGTACCTTTGTACAAACATGAGATGGAAAACAAAATGATCGCCTTGATGCTCCTAGCCATAAGTGGCATGTCAACAAATAGCTTAATTCAAAAAGGTCCTAAAGTAGAAGGGATAGATGGCGAAATCCTCCACATCTCTTTATATGGTTAGCCTACTTTCGTTTTGATTTCCATCTTTACTCATATTTCAGATATGAAAGCAGATGTTATGATATTGCTAAAGTGGGTACAGAATTTCAATAGCAATTCCTCTCTACCTTTGGACATGCCTTCAGGGACAACCTTCTTACAATTTCAAGGATCACTTTAACCAATAATATATAGGAATTTTCGAGACTCTCTAGCCTGTAGCGCCCCTTCCAACATTCCAATCTAACATTGGCTCTAAATGAACTAAATATTTCAGTCGAGCAAGCTGGCCCAAACATCCCAAACTGATGAACCAAAAAAAACTAAAAAGAACTAAACATATCTTCATTGTTTATCCAAATCGCCAGTATTGCTCTATTATGCAAGAAAATTTAAAGACATGAATATTTTATTTTGCTAAGCCAAATATTAAAATCGAAAACCATCCAAGACCGCCCGCCCAAGATTTATTCTGGATACAACTAAGTGTGAGTGCGATATACTGTTAAATATCAGCCAGAAAAATATTAAGAAACAAAAAAGAAACATTTGTATGCTATAGGTTGGAGACATGAAATTAAAAAATACCCAGAATGAAAAGGAATTACGTGCACCTTGGTGTGTTTGGCGTTAAGTTCCTTTGATACTGACGCCTTCTCGTTCATTTCGGCCTCTTTCGCCTTGAATTCAAAGAAAAAATCCCCACCCACAAGCCAAAAAACAAAGAATCACCACCCAAAAAGGCAGCAAATGGAAGAGAGGGGGAAAGAGAGAGAGATTGTAAATCTCTGTCTCCGTCTGTTTCTCTATTTTCGGCGTATGGGTGCATAGTATGCAGGTGGCTGAACAGATTCAGAGGAAAACAGTTGAAAACTTCCGAAAAAGCCGGTTGTAGATCCTACATGCACAACCTTCGGTCGAGTGTTTTTCATATGAGTGCAATCACTGACAGAACTACAAGGAGACCAACGGGAGCCATGGCCCCCTCCCTCATATTTTCAAAATTACTCTATTTCCCCTTTTAGGTTTTCTAGAATTACTCTATTTTCCCTTTTAGGTTCTTTTTGTATAAAGGATATCCAATTAGTGTATTCGAAAAAGTATAATAGCATGACATTAAATATTTACTAACTAAATGCGGATATTGTTCATATGGACGAGTGGCTTTTTATACAAGAAAATACTTATTTGGACAAATTTGATGACCAAAGGGAGAAGAAAAATATGCTGCAAAATTTAGGTACAAACGTGATTTTATATCATATGAATATTTAATGGTATATAATTTAAAATTTTTGCAGGAGAGAATTAGTGGTCCTTAAAATTATTACAAATTAAATTTCCTAATGATAAGTAAAAAATAGTTTTTGGATTTTCCAGACTAAGTTTTTGTGAGTATTTCATAATTAAAACTATAATACTAATACTAATACTAATGTGTTGGACGATCTCATTCCATTAACTTCTTAATTGTGTCACTGTTTTATCTGGCACCCCTTGTGATAAATTTTTGGTTTCGTCCCTAGGTGAAATGGTGCAGCCAGTAGTCAACTAGATGGGCCACGGGCCCACCATAAAAATTTTTTTAATAAATTATTATTTACATCTATTTTAAATAAATTTTTATATATTTCATGATACCCACCCTATATATATATTGTTTCCCACCTTATCAATTTCTTATCTTATCAAGTAGGATAGGCACATACTATTAAACTATGATATTTTTTGAATTTTTTTAAGTTATAAAAACTCAGAATCAAATCAAAAAATTGATTTTATTATTTATATAGAGACAAATATTATCTATTGTACTGATAATAAAATTATTATACAACACTTTTAAAATATAAAAGACCATCCAAATGAATTGTAAGTAATTGTAATTAGATTTTTTTTAGTGTTTTTCTTTATATACACTATGTATAACGACGTTGAACTATTTTGTATCTAATGAACGTTTGAGTATCAAATATTTTTATCGAGTGGAGAAAAAAAAAATTTAAGTTTACAGTTAAAATGTCCATTCTGAATAAAATTTTTGGCGGAGCACCAAGTGAATTACGCTTTTCCACCCTCAACTATGATCTCCATTTCACATTATCCCACCAGCAATTAAATGGAAGGTTTAATTATTTTGGACCAATATCCAACTTCCATTAACTCTTTTTTCTTAATAGATGATACAGTAACATAAAAGGAAGAAAAATTGGAATTAGACTGCACTCCCAGCCACAGAAGGGGTACCAAACATACAGCCATGCCGATGAAGCCAGCTTTATTTACCTTGGGGAAAAACAGTCCTCATTTTAGGCGTCCGCCACCCCCCATTAATACCAACAATCAAAATTTCCAGAAACGAATTAGTGATAAAATCAGAATTTTAATATTTTATATTTTATAATATTTCGAGACATTTTATAATATTTCAATGTATTTGCACAATTGTTTCAGAATGTTTTAAGGTATTTCAAGATACTACTTGTATATTTCAACCAATGTTTTGAAAAAAAGAATTATTTTTTATTTTTTAATTATGTTTCTAAAAATTATTTGAAACGTTTCCAAAACACATTCAAACGTTTCCGTTTCTTAAATGATCAAAACAATGCACCGAAACGAAATTTTGATCCTTGATTAATAAATAAAAGGCTAAGCAATCATAAATTTGGATCCCTGTTTCAAAAATCTGTATATCACATACATTTGTTTTGCTGATGACTAGCTATTGTTTTCTACAAGATACTGATTCTATAAAGAACTTTTAAAAACTGTCCACAAGTCTGTCTCCAGATTTCAGGTCTCTCAGTCCATGTAATGAAAATTACATTGTTCTGTGGAGGAGTTCTTACCCCAAGTTAAAGCGGAAATCATTGCTGAACTGTGGGTAGAGGAAGGGCACCTGCCAGTTAATACCTCAGATTCCCTTTAGTATCCACTAAGCTTACACATAATGGCAAAGTGCCCTTGGTTGAGAAGATAACAGCCACAACACTTTCCAGACGGGGAGACTCCTCTCTTATGCAGAGAGATTACAGCCATTTAATTGGCCATATATTCTCTGTGAGTCTATTAGAGCAGTGTTACATTTTGCCCAAAAAAGTTCATAGAAATGGTGGAATGGAAGCAAAGTGCAAAAAGTTTAGCAGTTGGTTCCAGCTTGGGAGCCCTGTGCACCCAAAGGAGAATGGTGACTTGGGTATCAAATGAATGGAGCAGCAATCATGAAAGTTTTATCGGTCATTAACACCAATGCAGACATGCTATGGGTCAAATGGGATCATTAAAAATGAACCAAAGGATGGTGTGTATGGATCTTGAATATCTCATGTTACTGCTCATGGGATTGGACCAAAATGCTAAAACTAGGAAATGAATTTGCACCTCTAATTTACAATGTGATTGGTAATGATCAGAATACCTAACTTTGGTATGACAATTGGCTATTGGGATGTCTGATGGACAAACATGGGAAAAATGCTGTTGTTGCCTCTAGCATAGACCTCAATGCAACAATATCAGAATGCATTCAGGGAAGCTGGTGGCACTTTCCAGATTCAAGATTCAGTATTATACGTGAGGATCCAGGATATAAATTATGCACATGATTTGGATCCACCTAATAATAATAATAAGGATCCAGGATACAATGTTATGGAAACAAAATGGCAAGAGCATCTTTAAGGGGCAAATAGTACTCAACACCCTAAAGCGTGATCCGTCCCAATCTCTCTTTAGCCCTTCTATAACCAATTCTCTCATACGTTTCACTTTGCCCTAAAAATCCGAATCCACGGGTGCTTTCTGTCCAAAACAAAACAGATGTTTGACTTTAGGGTAATGTGAAACAAATTCAAGAACATGAACGTGCAATGTTAGAAACTCAATGGAAGAGGTAAAAATGTGTAATCGGGGTCATAGTTTAGGGGAACAAAATGTATTCTACCTTATTTACTATTCACGGTCCATAAGGGTCCCTTCAGCAACATCCATGGCACCACATAGCCTGACCTAAAGGACACATATCTCTGCTTTCTTTCATCTTATTGGCTCACCCCCAGACAGAAGCTACAGACTCAAGATGTCTTGGATGCTAATAGGATCATGGAAACATCACGATGTGATATTCGCCAACCTTTACCAGAAAATATACAGAACTTGTATTCTAGGTGTTGATAAATGAAAGCAGTTTTTAACGCAATCCTCAAGAAGACAGCTTTGGTAGCCACTTAAACAGTTTATGGAAAGGGAAAAAACAATGGAGCATTGGGCAACACCCCTCCAAAAGATAAAATCATAAAGAAGACGAGAGAGGAAGTAAGAATTAAATCTACTGTGCAAAAGAATGTGGAGGATACAGGATACTACCAGAAATCCTGAAATTGCCAGGTGGAACATTTCGATCAAGTTTAGAAGTAAAGGAGACTTCGCGCTCATGACTGCCTCAGTTGGTATTAACCAGTCCCCAAATTTGAAGCCAAAAAGGTAGCATCAATTTACAAAAATTAAAGAACAATAGAGATAGTTAGAGCAAAATCTTGACGAGCTCATAGACAAATGGAAGCTGAAGGTCATATGGAGATTCAAAAAGGTAGCCACGAAGCCTTGGACACATAAAAAGGTAGCTTTGAATAAGAGGTATTGGGAATAAATTGATTCTTGATTTATTGAGAAATGGTCTAATAGATTGGAACTCACCACCTATCTTTAGTAATTATCCATACAACATTTTTTGACATAAATTCCTTCATCATGTTGTTTTTAAGTTATAAAAATTTATGTCCTGCTTCAGGTTGTCTTTAAGTGGAAAAACATTACCACATTCAAACACATTAGTAATTTTTCAAAATGAAAACTACGAAAAAAATTCATTAGTTTTGTGAGGCCTGAATAGGAAGAAACAATAGATGAATCATTAGTCACCTTGAAAAAAGATGATCAGCCATTTGCCTACCTAAGAAACCCTTATTGAGGAAGACATCCAGGTGATGAATGCAATTATGGGAACACCTCATCTTCAAACCTATTTTGGATAGATCAAGTCTATAACACTCCGAAATGTCAACAGTAGTAAGATTCAAATATAACTCCTAAACAACTAGACTTCAACACTGCCTTCTAGCTTACCTAGGCTTCATGATTACTTCCTTGAATCTTCAGACGACTTCTAGCCTCTTATTTGTCCATAAGACCCCAAGCTTGGAGCTAACCACTGCAACAGTTGCTGGATCTCCTTTAACTTTGCTTCCATTTTTGCAAAAAACTATGCATCCCCTTTAGCTATACACCCACAGTATAGCTATTGCATAGGGTTATCTACTCTACTATATAAGAATCAAATTATGAGGGAAAGTACTTAGGAAGTCTTCCCTCCCCATTTCCCCATTTTCTAACATTTTGAACTTAGTTAATTCGAACCCATTAATAGGTGGTACTCAATAATAATATCAAAATCGGATGGATGGGATAATAATTTAATCAATACTTTTCCACCATATCAAAATCGTATACGACTGGATGGGATTCCGAAAATTGCAGGGGAGCATGGCTAGTATCTATAATGCACATACATAACCACATATATACAACCATACACACATATAACCACATGATATAGCTATTTGATTGGGTTATAGCAAATACTGCAGATAAAAACACATACAAATAACCACATAGCATAGCTATTGGATAGAGTTATCATCAATAATGCAAAGAACTACATACACTCACAAAATACATTATGAATTAAAATTGAGAAGTCTGTTTCCAGTACTCACAAGAAATGAAACCAATCAATCTTGGCGGACTTCATTGGGAGTTTTTGCGACAATAGATAGGGCATGCAAGCCGGACTGAAGTTCATCGGCCAAGAGATCGTACACCATACGGTGTCGTTTCACGAGGCTCTGGCCGTCGAACTTGCTCGACACGATCTTCACATCGAAATGCGTCTCGTTGTTAGGGTTTTCTCGCACGGCGGCGTGGCCTGCGTGCTTGTACGACACGTCGTCTACCTCCAAAACGGTCGCCTCCAGTGCCGTTTGGAGCTTTGATTTGATTCGGCTTGCCCTAGATAGCAGTGCATTGGCTCCTCGTGATGTCATGGGCTCTGCTCTGTTTTCTTCTGTTTGGTTGCTGGGAAACACTGAGAAAACGAAAGGAAAATTCACTCCACACACTCGCTAGCCATAGCATTACTCAGAGAGCATATTGCCCTAGATAGCAGTGCACTGATTCCTTGATAATTTAGGATCCACTATTATGCAAATCACTGAGCAGTGGATGACGTCAGTATGATATCATCAATATGGTGATGTCATAATATGTTACATAGTATTTTAAATTTTAATAATTAATAATTAATTAAAACTAGTTAAAATAGATGGTTGTTGGAATGAATTAGTTTGAGTTGGTATTTAAAATAATTAGTATAATAAAAAAATATATTTTAGCCGGTTATTATTTGGAGTTGCTATTATGTCAGATCCAAATAGAATTATCAATTATAATGATGACCTTACGTTTCAATGTATTCTTTGACCATTCCCTCATAATTCATAAATTTTTACGAGACTCAATTGAAAATCCTTTGTTAGTGGGAAAAAATTTGCTATCAATTAAAAAAATATATGTTTACCATTAACATTGCACCTTTTTCTGGCCTCAACAAATTTGAACTGAATTTTGAAAGATAAATGACGTAATTTTGAATAGAAAATTAATTAAATTCTTTAATGGGGGTGTTCATATCATTTTGGAATTATGATAGGGGTAGCATGATAATAAACTCACACATCGGGGGAAGTGATTGTAATATACCCAATTAATAGAGGCAATGGCAAAAGGCGAAACAGAAAGGAATGCGGTGAGCGTGGATCGAACACGCAACCTTCAGATCTTCAGTCTGACGCTCTCCCAACTGAGCTATCCCCGCAAGTTGTATCTCAGCTTTAAGATAAAAAACTTAGTGAACAAGAACTTTTATGCTCGAAAGAGAGAAGTAGTACTAACGTCCATCGAATACAAAATTTGTGAACAACAGTGTTTTATTTTAAGAACATATAATTGGTAAATGGTGTGCCAATTATAAGAATTTATCGGACTATTTTCTATGCACCAGAATCGCTGTCTCCGATTGCGCCTATGGTTCCAAGCTCCACATTTATCGGAATAAAGTAGCAGCGTATTTAAGTTAAAAAAAAATTCAATAAAACATATAATTACGAGTCAATTCAGTTAAAAAACAAAAGAGAGATCACCTTCCAAAAAAATAAATGAGTGAAAGAGTAATGTACATTGGGCAAAGAGATGTGTGATGGCGTACAGATACTTTCAACACTAGATGCTAAGAATTCAAGATTATCATTAAAAACTAGTAGGTGGAAGTGCCCACCCAGGAGTTCATTTCTTGCTCCGTCCATGCTTAGGCTCTAGCAGTCACAGTAATATAGTTTCTTGGACTTCCTAAATTTCGGTACCCCAAATTCTATTTTTGCTACAACTTATTGTTGATGGTGATATTCAGGATTATAATCTTTTGCACCAATGTATGTACATTTGACGGTGATAGTTTTTGACCCAACTAGTTTTATTTAATGGACCAAAAGTCTTCGACCCAGGTCAATGAGCCATTTTTTGAAGTCATAGTCCAATGTATGCTCTAAATATTTTTTGGAGTTTTTGGCCCAACTAATTTTATTTAAAGGACCAAAATAATATAACCCAAGTCAATGGATAATTGTTTGGAGCCAAATTCCAATTATACGTTAAGTACAAGGAGTTTTTGGCCACATAAGTTTTATTTATGAAATTAAAAGTCATCAACCCAAGTCCATAGACCATTTGTTGAAGTCAATGTCCAATGTATACGTTAAGAATTTTTCTTGTACACGGAGTTTTTTGCCTGATTAGTATTGTTTAATCACGGTTAACAATAAATTGTAGCCTCTCATGTTTTACTTACTGTGTTTTTCAACTGAATTGACCCTAGTTAATAGCCTTGAATAAATCCATTTATTTTTAATTATTTGTTTCGTAGGTGTGGAGAATTCCATGCTCGCAATTATGTAAATAATGTGCATTTTTGTATCCAATAAAGGTGTAAATAATGGTTAATAACTAAGAAATTATAAGTACAAAAATTAGAAAAATCTATAACATCACGAGACCTTTCTCATAGAGGTTTGAAAATTTCAGTAATATAGCATAACCATGGTATAAGTCTTAAAAGTTTTTTTTTTTTTTACTTCTACTTATGCATTCATTTAAATAGAAAAATCACGTTTAACTAATTTTAAAGTGATTTAAATAAGTATACTCAAATACTAATTTTTTTAAAATAATTATTAGAATTTATAACATCTTAAAAGTGTTTTTAAGTCATTCTAAATACCACTTGAATAAATATGATTGAAATATAAGTATCTGAATAAAAAAAAAATTGGAAATATGAAGGATCAAAGTGATCATTCAATTATTTTTAAGTGAGATGGTTATATTAGCTTCGGTTAATTCAAGTTTGTTGTTTTTTATTGAACCAAAATATTGTAAATTAAAAAATTGATGGATGAAAGTGTTTAAATTAAAAGAGTAAAGCTCAAAAGGGTGTTGTTTGAGATTATGTTTCTTTGATAAGATAATGCAGGCAATGACAACATGATTAGGCGCTTGAGTTAATTTCTCACGGTATGCAAGTTAGATATTTGAAGGTGTTCCTTATATCAGAATTGTAGAGTGTAATTTTATTTATCGCCCGAAATCAACCAATAAGGAAAAAAACTTAGAAAAGTCCATACTATTATGAGATCTTTCTTATAAAGGTTTGAAAATTTGCACAAACATGATATTAGTTGATGTGTATAAGTCTTAAAAGCCTTTTTAAGTAATTTCAAACTATTTTCACTAATTCCTTTATCATTTCTCATGACATAATTGATCTTAAGTAGAATTTTATTCATCGTAATTTTTTCATTATTAATAATTTTTCATGTTCTTTAAATTTTTTGTTGTATGTTTTGCACCAACGATAATTGTGTTGTATATATTTTTATTATCTTCTAATTCTTCAGGATCTATTAATTGTTCATTTGCAAGACCTTAACTTATTTTTCTATGATATTTTGTTTGCTAGTAGAAATAAACAAATCATTTTGATATTCAAATATTTTTAAATTCACTATTTTTTTTTTAAGAATAATTTTTCATATTCAGATCATTATTTTCAAGTCGCTATATTTATAATACATAATCAAAAAATTAATTCTAAATAACTATACGGTATCTATTATTAAAAAATATGCATATGAGCTTAAAATTATAAAAATATAAAATGATAAAGCTTGATTTGTCATGGTTAGTATTAAAATTTCATCTTTTAATTTTTTCTTGATGAAAGTTTGTAAACTTAAGTGAGCTGTATTATGTGGGTTTTACTAAGTTGAGAGAGAAGAGAGAGAGAGAGAGAGATTTTCCTAATTGGCGACGATGACGTTAAAGTGGGCGAAAGCATCTGAGTTTTGACCGTTGCATTTGAGTTTCCTACATCACTCCCTCTCTCGGCGCCCACTCACTCATTCTCCTCTTTCACCATTTTTTTTTACTCCCTGCCAGCGACGCCATACATAACTCCCCCCCTCTCCGCCAGCGAGCCCTAGAACACCGCCAGCCACCGAACACAGTAGGCGATGCCATCGAACACCGCCGCCAGTGACACCACTCTTTCTCTCTATAGCGAACCACCATCAAGGCCATAGACCAACCCAAAGCCCCTACCCTCTCTCCCTTTCTCTCAAAACACTAACCTAAATACTCTTATTTGATTTTGGAAACCCCTAAATCACTCTCTATCTCTCTCGGCGCCCCCTCTCTCTTCTCTCTCATTATCCTCTTTCCCCATCTTTTTTTTCCTCCCTCCCACCTACGCCATACATATCTCACTCCTCTCTCTCCTCCAGCGAGCCCTGGAACACCACCAGCCATCGAACACTGCCACCAGCGACACCATTCCTCTTGGGCTTAGGTAACCCTCTCTCTCTCTCTCGCCATCCATATATTGCTTCTTCAACACTCCATTGGTCCAACGGTGACCAAGGTCCAGTCCAGAATTGCCCGCCCATTAATATTGCTTCCATTCTACTTCACCCTCCATCCTTTACTAATTTTCGATTATTTTCTTTTTTGATTTCCCTCCTACCAAACACCTTTTTCCACATCGAAGTTGAACCCATCTTTGTTTTCTTTCTTTAATCCCATTCCAAATCTCGAATACTAATTGTTTAATCAAAATCTTTCCAAAACAAGACGAAACCCATTTGTCAAGTCACAGCCATGACAGAGGTCCTCCACTCACCCTCTTCTTCCTCCTTTTCACCCACCGCCCACAATGACACATTGTTACAAAGGCAGTCTTTTGTAGAAGAAGATAAACCACCCCACAGCCCCTACCCTCTCACTCTTTCTCTCAAAACCCTAACCTAAAAACTCGAGTAACGATTATTTGATTTCAACGATTTTTTTATTTCTGCCCCTTCTTACCATTGTGATTTAATCTCTTTGTTTTTTTCTGAATGATTTGCTGCATGAAAGAAATAGGGTGAAAGAAATTGTGCCTGAACCGAGGAATAAGTACAGAATTAGAAAGAGTAACATGAATGTTAGTAGTTCGATGTGTCCTAATTCTAACAATCTGAAATTCTTTAACAGAGCTCCACTCCACCGGTAACCAACAACCACAACGAGACCAGCAGCGACCACAGGGAGAAGAGGCGAAGCAATGTTGAGGTTTATCTGGATAGGAAAGAGAGTCTTGAAGACGATGTCGTTGCAGATCGACTGTTGGAAGATTCGGTTTAATGGCGGACTTGAGAGACGATATTCAAGCCTATACGACCGGTATTGAGCCTTTACGAACCATAACAGGTACCTCCCACCTCTCTCTTTCACTCCCCTCCATGTTATCAGAACCGGATTGGTCATCGAATCGATTAAAGAATTGGGTCAATAATTTACTGATTCAACCGGTGGGTCACTAGTCAAACCGGCCATTTAATAAAAAAAATAAAATATATTTATTGAGTTGAATACTATAACATGCTTATTGAAATCAACCACCAAGTCAAAACCAATGAAATCAAAACCAAAGAAATCAAGTTTGACAGATGTACAGACCATTTTTGTTTACATCCAAAATCAACCACCAGTTTTAGTTGCTAAGATATGAACTAATGAAATGAAGTTTTACCTTAATTTATAGCCTGATGTCGCTTGTGTTCGCTTGGTCGCTGAAGCCCGTTGCCTCACCTGGTCACTGATCGCTGTGGCTCATCAGTGCTTATAGTCGAAGATCCTTGGACTGGAGCCTGATCGCTGGAGCTGTGGCGATGGTGGTGCTAAGTCCTTGGTCGAAGACGATGGTGGTGGTGCTGAGCCTTGGTCGAAGACGACGAAGAGCCTTAGTCGCTGGAACCTGGCAGTGGTGCTGTGATTTATAGATTTAGGGCAAAAAAAAACCCAAAATACCAAAAATAATATATATTTAATTAGTTTATGTAATTTAATTTTTAAATGGGCATTAAACGTCTGGTTTCTAAAAAATTACCGGTTCATGGTTTTTGTTAAAAATTGGCCGATTTTTTGGTTTTTAAGCAGTTCACTTCCTTAAGCGGTTCAATTAAGAAATCGGACCAATTAGGGTTCCGGTTCACGGTTGAACTGGTCCGATCTAGTTCTAATAACACTGATAGTTAATGAACTTTTGATAGAACCAAGGGATCTACAAAATTGGATTAGGCAGTTACTTTGTTTATTTGAGGCTCTATATGAAAATTCAAAAGCAGCACTAAAATTAATTCCTCCTGAATTGGCCCTTCCTTCCTCCTTCATGGGAAACATTTCACCCTTTGTCTTTCAATTCGTCTAAATGATATTATAATGGTTGTCCATTGTAGTGTGTTTGTTCAGATTGGTGCGGTTGGCCATTTTATTGTTGTTTATTTTTATGTTTTAGGATCGGATTATAGTCTACACGATAGCTTTTTTGTGTTTACTCTATATGGATGCCCATGTGTTTGTTATTTTGATGTAACTCAAATAGCACAATCTTGAATAAGATACCAAATCATTCATTATTTACTACTTTAAATTGGTAAATCTGCACATAGGGGTGTTAATAGCTAAGAAGCACAAATACGGACATGGATACGACCCGATACGAAGTTTCTCCAAAAAATAGGACACGAACGCTTTACAAAAAATTTATATTTTATAATAATATTATATAATTTATTGTAAATATAATGATAATGATATACAATTCATAAAAAATTCAGTATTTTATGATAAGTAAATCTAATATCCAGTCATTTGTGTAAATTTTTAGATTAAAGCATCTTTATTACAGTCAATAATCATCAATTTTTTTTAGACAATGTTTACCTAATATATAATTTAAATAAATTGCTCTCATTTTTTCAATTCTTTTTTTTTTTAATTTTTTGTATTTTTAATTTTTTATTATTATAATTGGAGTATAACTTTAACATGTATAGTATTAGTAATTATATATTCTCAAAATTTTAAATTTTGTTAATCACATTCAACACATGTCTATTGTTTAGTGGTAGACACGTTCTAAAGAAATGTCGGACACGTCACTAAAAAAGTGTCTAACACGTGTCCGAAATTAAAAATTTATCATTTAATTATTGACACAGATAAAAGAATATTGGACAGTGTC